TTAAGCCTACGGTTTGCTTGAGTCACGCGAGCTTGCACCCTCCATGATAAGTAAAACCAGACAATTGCCACATCCCTGTGCAGGCCCGAAGCCAGGGCGGTCCGGGGGGTTCGAAGGAACCACCCTTTTTGTCAGGAAAAGGTCCATTTTGGGTAAAATTTGATCTAGGTACACATAAGTTTCATTGTAAAAGGTCCACTTTTTCAGAAAAAGAACCCCCCTTTTGAATTTGCTGGCTACGAACTGCTGTGCATGTGTTCTAAGTGATTTTATTACATGACACAGAAAAAATATCCCCGTTCTACTACAGCACTTTATATATATTTATCAAACTACGTTTTGGTGCAATTATTAATCCATTCTGAACGTCCACGCGAAGGATCTGGTCAAGATTTCTAAGTCTAGTTCCCGTTTGAAAAAAAAAAAAAAAAAAAAAAAAAAAAAAAAAAAAAAAAAAAAAAAAAAAAAAAAAAAAAAAAAAAAAAAAAAAAAAAAAAAAAAAAAAAAGTCAAATTAAAAAGGATGCAAAAAGAAAAGTCAAAAAGGTTCTTTTGATACGCAAGTTTTGAAAGACGTTCTGTTTTAACGGCATCACCAGTGGAAAAAATGACTTAACAAAATATTCCACACCAATAAATAAATAAATAAATAAAAATGGATAAATAGATAAAAATAAAAAATTCTAAATAAAATAATAATAAATCTGATTGCATTCAGCGAGAATCCCCTTGGAGCTAACATAGGGCTCTATTCCCATAGATTTTAGATCGATCTATCCCCGCAGGGAGTCTCACTAGATTACTTTCAGATAATCCGACTTAAATGTCCGTCCCGCCTACTACAAGCTGTAAGGGGGTAATTAACTTTCGTGTCCGCCCGGCTGACAGCTATTTAGCGTGAACCCCCAGGGAGTAAGGTCGATCTAAAGTAGGTCGATCTAATCTATGGAAATGGGGTGTAGGTCTACACCAATCACTGGGCACTGTCCCCTAAGTGTGTATTGGACGTCGCGTCAAATATCAATATCACTTAATTAATAACCCCTTTACACTGGAAGGGACCTTCGTGCGCCCCGCAGTACGGCCCCGTTTGAGAGTAAAAAATAATAATACTTTAAGTGCCGATAACTGGCCGATCATTTAGCATTCATTCTGCAACCAAAGTGATGCTTGTTCCTCCTTTCTACAACCACAACGATACCAGTTTCGTGGTCGAACAAAGGATGCAGAAAGAACGCCGTCCAGTGTAAAGCTGCCACTCGAGCTGCTTTAATTCATCCCCTTGAGTTAACTCAATTTGAGCTAGTCCAAGCGGAAATAAAACTGGGGTAGTTCAACTTAATTTGAGCTAGTCCAAGCGAAAAAACTGGGGCAGGTTAGATTCAACTTTATTGTGCCACTGACCGCTGGTCAGACCGTCCAGTGACCCTCCGACCGACCCTCCGAGCCTTTGCTCCGTGAGCGTTCGTACATTCTTTATTGTGCTTCCCAATTGAATTTATAATGTTATCTTTTTCTTACTCCAAATATTTCACAAGTCCATTTTCACATTCTTGAAATGCATTTAAAATGAACCTACAGGCAAATTATGTAAACACTTGAAAAAACTGCCAGAAATCGACTGGACCAGGAGGTCTCTCGTACCTGTATATTTCAAAGCGGGAGTTCTTAGCTATTTGCAGTGGCTATTTATATATCAAAGTATAGTTTTATCTGGTACTCGTTATGATGCATTTATTCTTCTTATTTGTGTTAGCACTTACATAGTCATATTCATATATGTAAGTTTAATGCAAAACTTATTCCTTTTAAAACTGCGATAATGACATTACACAAAGGTGATTGTTGTCTCTTTAAACACCCGACTCATGCAATATTTTACTGTGAACCGACAATCGGCCGATAAACGCTCCGTAGCCTGGGCGGCATCTACATACCTTCATCAAGGTAATTTTTCATTCTTCCAACTTAGTGCACTGAGGCGATTCTGCAGTCACACTTCACACTTTTAAATATTTTCAGAAATATCGCAGTGACCTGTGACCGGTCACAGGATGGGGGCACCCCATTCTCATACCCACCCCAAGCTCGCACCCTGAGCTTCAGAATTGACTTAAATAAAGCTTTACACTGTAGCCGTTTCAAGTAACTGGTTTGCTTGTATACTGATGAGGCTTGTTTCAAGTTATCTCTGAAGCTCAGGGTGTGGCAGCTCGCCACATTAGGCGTCTCCGCCGCGCTCTCTTTCATAGTAAGCACAATGACTCTTTAACCGTGTGGCTTGTCCTCAAACATACTGCAGTGACTGATGCAGAACCAAATGCAGTTTGAGCTTGAAATCCAATCTGATTAGATTTTATTTTAAGGGGAGGGGGGGGGGGCTTTTTCATTATAGCCTACACACATTAATTCTTTTAAGGTGTGACTTTGAACTCCCATGTGTCTCGAGCCCTGTGCTGGGTACATTATCTGAATATTCACAGTAACAGTAATGCCTAAATAAAAATTGATGCTGTTAATGCCAGTAAGCGTTATATACTATTAAATCGAAATTGACAAAACCCCTATTTTGTGCACTGTCATCGTAAAAAAACATGGAAGGAAAACTGTCTTACTTCTCGTTTCCAAACTTAAATTAAGAATGGTTCTTAGGGCTAAAATAAAGCTAGAGTTGGAATACCAGCCTGATTCGATTCATTTTTTAATAAAGTTATTCATCTGTGTGATTATTTCATTTCTCACATATTGACATTATTAAGGTGTGACTCTGATCTCTTTTTGGCATGGTCCTCACCTAGGAATGAAACTCTTGCGTAAGTTTTCAGAATTCGAGTTCGCACCGAGTGCCGAGTGAAGTCGATTGAAGCGCATCGGTGGCTTCGTCGGCCTCCGGGGCCAATGAGAACTGTGTCAGTGTCCGGAGTTTTTACACCGTGACCGGGTCAATCCCCACCAAATCGCCGACCTGGCCTCGCTAACCAACTGCATCGCATATCATTCGGCTAACCGTATCTGAAATTTACGTGTACCATAGGAGTTCAGCAGACTGTAGCATGCACAATATTATGAGTCTTCACAACTTCAGAAACAATAACAGCGACAATAACAACAACAACAACAATAAGAACGTAAAGTTAAAACAACTTTGAATTTATTTATCAAGTGGGTTCGGGTCAAAGACAGAAAGTTACCAAGTGCATACCCTCTACTAGGGCGACAGAGTTTTCACAAGATATTCGCAGATATGTCTTTAGATAAATAGACAGTCATTTGATTCTCTGGCTTTTTGAATATTTGCCTATAATATCTGCCACCCTGCTAGGGGGTACCAAGTGCAACTCTAATCGCATCGACAGTCAGCCAGTACGAGAACTGCATTTTGTTTTAAATAAAATGGAAAACGTCTACATCAAACAATGTGTTACTTTCGCTGAATGCAATCAGTTTAACAGGTTAATATCACTCCTGCCGTTGAGCAGGATGCAGAAAAGCCGGTGGTTATACAAGTATGCTGGAAACAAGAGTAGGCGTGTAAGAGTGGGTTCCCATACTTAGATCGGTCCATCTGGATCGACCTAACTCTGGGAAGTCTCACTAAATTGCTATCAAATAAAAAAAAACGGCTTAAATGTCTGTCACGCCTACCGAATCACCTAGGGGGTAAAGATAATTACCCCCTAACAGCTTTACTAGGTGTGACAGACATTTAAGCCGGTCGAGTTGACAGCAATTAAGTGAGACTCCCCAGGGAGATAGATCGATCCAAATATCTGTGGGAATGGTCTCTAAATCTGTTTAACTGGTTGCATAGCGATCGAGAGTCACCGCAGAGTTGGATCGATCTGCATAGACCGATGTTTTCAATGGGAATGAGCCCTATGGGGCTATTAGGTAATGGTGGACTGGTTGATTTCACAATTAAAAGTAATTTTCCGTGATAACAGCCTTGGGGCTGGCTGCGACTTTGTGAACTTTCCAAATACAAAGCAACATGAGGCGTGAACGAAGTAGCGATTAAAAAGATTGTAAATGTTCAATACTTGGCTGACAAAATGGAAGGGAATATGTATCAATATTGCAAATGATGCCAGAAAGAAATGCGCAGCGTGTGTAAATAATACCGTATAATGACAGAAAAGCAACACCTGGCGAAATAAAAGTGTACGTTATAATAGTCGGTGTCACCATAACACTGATAGTCTTATTCGCCACACACTACATACTAAAGGTGTGTAATTTGATCTTAAGGTAACATCATGTACCCCATGTTAACTTCACTTCTGTAAATAATGTATTATGTATTCTTGGTGTGAAGTTGTCTTAATATCAGTTACAAATTTTCTCGAACAGCAGATAAGTAGATCGAGGATTCTTTTTGTTCCGTTTTATGGTCGCTTAAATTTGATTGGGGACTTTGGAGTCATTGGCTATCTGTCATTATTTCATTTAATGCTAATCTATTGTTTTAATTATTATCATTAAATTAGTTTATTTTATAGAAGGTTTATCCCTCGCTGAAATCATTCACAGTCTTACATCCACTTAAATACTCGACATTTTACGCTTCTTTACTTCTTTGTGGCCGGTGAAAAATCGGATATAAGACATAATTAAAATAAACTTAATTGGGAAAAATGCTCCATTAATGTAATATGACGTAATATTATCAAAGGCTCGCCACGCGCGTCTGTCTCTGTTCATGCGAACGCGCACACGGCGGTCAACTTCATTTGTCCTCTTTTCTTTCAATTGGCCTCTTTTATGTTATGGGAGATCACTGTTGACGCAAGAGCCGGCGTTGTCCCCAAATATCCCAGCACTTGACCGGCATGTCAACCTGCCTTGTTCCCAAATGCATTCCTTTTTGCCGAAATCAGTGACTGTGTCGCGTGTCTCAGCATTCGTGTGTCGCTAGAGGGCGCTGTCCGAGGACCAGTTGTATAATATATATATATATTTAACCGCAAGGATTACCGACTTCAGACCGGTCCACAATAAAGGACGGTGTATCCCCCCTCTCAACGCATCGCATCAAATCTCCGCAGTGCAAGACGAGGTTCGAGTATGTGTGGTCCCCTGTATAATTAACGCTTGCAGAATAGCTCAAGTTCAGGCAAGTACCGGTATGTTCATGATTTATCAAATTTCTGTAAAGAGATTTTTTTTCTTGTTGAATGTTATTAGTAATATTTACGTTTTTACGCATTCGAGAATAATTATTTATTGCACGTATTGATTAAGAGGGAGTGGCTTGAAAAAAATTTACAAAGACATTTTTACTTCCGCAATTGACTAAAATATACCTTTCACGATTTAAGAAAAATATGTTACAGTAGTAAAAGAAACGCTGCATTACATGTATGTTAAGGAAACAACTTCATTGGGTTTAGCTGCAGGGTCCTATTTCGCGAAATACTATATTTAGTTTATTGAGCTAAAATTAACGCCTTATTAGCTTTTAAGACTTCGGTGGGTAAAGTCTAGAATACATGTGTCACGGACGCCCTGTTGTGAAATCGTGCGTGATTTTCCGTGCAAATTTTATGGCATCGTAAGTGGCTATGGGCTACGGCGAATACGTTTACCTTACGTGCCGGTGCCGTGTCATTACGCCGACATGACCTCGAGGTTCCAAAGAGAAAATTCGGTTTATCTGACGTGCAGTGATCGTACGGAGCCCTTTCAGCCCCGGTACAGTGTGACGTTGCCGTGTAGTTTCACGTACTGAGGATGGATACGCTGCCGGCGCATATATGCCCCTTCAAGTTTTAGCAACCAAATGGTCAGATTGAGAATGACAATCGGAATGAGGAAACAAACAACTTCAAGTTCGTGAAAGTGAATTACACTAATAAGTTTTAAACATCTTTACTATTAATATTTACTATTGTTATGCTTCCTATAAACACCAAAGGTGGAAAGAAAAGAAACCAACAATGAGTTTAATCATTATCACAATCACCACAAACCCTCAGAACAATTCCCGAACGGGAACTGTGCGATTCCATCTGAGATAATGCTACGGCAAACAGGCCTACGATTTTGTATATTATTTCACTCTAGTTTTTTTTAATTGTCCGTTATTTTTGATCGCGTCACCGATGATTCGGTTTCTCTAAAACCCCTCATGGATCGAACGGTTCATCAATTTGGCAAACGTTTACTGAAGATATGTAAGGGTATTTTACTTCGAATACTGAACGGGCGTTGCCCGCGGGATCGGGAATAGACTAGAAGGAAGGAGGAGTATCTAAGTGGCTGACGCGAGTAAGTTGTTGACCCGTTTCCTCTTCAATGCACGTAGATCAACCCATACACGTGTGACCTGCCCTATTGTGTTCCGGGGCCACAGATAGGTCTTCCACTAACTATTCACAGAAAAGACCGGGTTTATGTAAGAGCTGACTAAACACGTGCTTAGGTAACTATGGCCTTGGCCCCATTCCTATAGACGCCATCGGTCTGTGTAGATCGATCCAACTCTGCGGCGACTGATTGCAATCAGTTTAACAGAATAACATGGCTGCTCTTGTTTCCAACGTACTTGTACAATCACCAGATATCCTGCATTCTATCCAATGCCAGGAAGAGGCGTGTGATTGCACTCAGCGAGAGTCCAAGCGAAGCTGAATCGATCTACGTAGACCGATGATCTCTTTGTGAATACAGCCTAAGGGGTTAGAAAGCTGCCGGAGTAAAAAAAATTACAAAAGAAAGGGAAAAAGCAATGGAAATGTTTTAATATGTATATTGGACACGTGCACACTTCTGTGCTCTGTGATCCTGTTGTGTAACTAGGACTGGATTCCTATGCCTAGATCGATCTAACAGGATCGATCCATCTCCAAGGGGTTTCACGCTAAATTGTTTTCAGCTTGAGCGGCTTTGATGTCTGACACGCCCACTGAAGCTGCTAAAAGATAATTAATTACCCACTAACAGCTTCAGTAAGCGTGACAGACATCTTTGCATCTTAAGTTGATAGCAATTTAACGACAATCCCCTTGGAGATAGATCGATCCACAGTTAGTACGATAGGATCTGGGAATGGTCCCTTGCAAAGGCCTATACCGGTATGTATTCGAAAGAAATGCATTTTCGCCCCCCCCCCCCTCCCCGGCCACGACGAAAACACGTGCCGTTCACCTGTATCCTGATTAGTACGTAAGTATTGTGTAAAGGGTCGGCGACCCGCGGGGTGTTTACCTGTGTTAAAGGACACGGGAGGTGACCTGTAGTAGGAACAATTAGTGGCTCCATCAATCAAGAGAAAAATAAGCTTAGTGCCAATGTCAATAGGTTAAGACGCTAACTCATACCTGTAAAGCAAATAAGGGTATCTCGTATCGCTTTTAAGATTATATTGTAAAATGCTGTCCAAAAACTCTTGGGATAAGGAGGGTCAATGCCCCCTTAGAACTTTAAAAATTCAACCTACAATGCTTTTGGTATTCTTGGGTTGGGGGTGGAGGTAGGGTGGGGTAGGGTGGGTGTGGGTTAGGGTGGGTGGGGTAGGGTGTGGTGTGGTGTGGTGTGGTGGGGTAGGGTGGGGTAGCGGAGGGTGGGGTGGGGTAGATTGGGTTGGGGTGGGGGTAGGATGGGGGTGGGGTGGGGTAAGGGTGGGGTTGGGTGTGGTAGGGTGGGGTGGGGCGAGGGTTTAACCTCTGCTCCTGCTTCCTACCCCGACAGCCGATAGCCCTGGATTGTCATACAACAACTTCTTTGAGCAAAAATGTAAGCTAACGGTACGGAAAATTTTAGGCTTGTGTTTGAGAATTTTCATGTATAACAACTTCTTTCTTTCGACGAAGACCAGACGGAAATTGCAATAGCCAGCAGTTATCAGATTTGAAAAAAAAAACAGACCCGTACATTGTACAATCGTACTACCCTGTTGGTTTGGATGACGATAAATACATATATATCATTATCATTAGTATTATCATCATTATTTCTTGTGCATGCATGCGCCCTGCCACAACGTGCACATGTACCCGATACTCGTTCCAAGAGCATCAACGGCATAATGGTCATTAGCACAGGACCAAACACGGGTCATCTTGACCATCGGAACAATTACGAGGCCTAAGTAGTTGGCCTAAGTTACAATACGATCTGGTTTATCATTAATTTGATCCTGTGGCCTAGCCTCAACTGTGATTTCGACATATGATAAACTCCCTAAAATGTTCATCATTATCATGGCGATTTCCATCCAGTAGGCATGGAAATTAGATAGTCTCATAGACTGGGTTCCCATAGATTTAGATGGATCTATCCGGATCGACCTTACTCCTTGGGGATTCACGCTAAATTGCTGTCAGGTTCCGAGAGACGAGTGCGCACAAAAGTTAATTACCCCCTTACAGCTTTTAGTAGGCGGGACAGACATTTAAGCCGGTCAGACTGACAACAATCTAGTGAGACTCCCCACGGGGATAGATCGATCTAAAAATCTATGGGAATGCACTCATAGCCGCGTTTTTAAGAGCCGGTGTGGAATATAATATGGAAACCCCTCCTATTATTCCGCAGTCCGGTTTCGGAAAAGCAACAACGGACTGAAGACCAACCGACACACTAGTCCCAGATTGCAAGACGTGGCTTTTTGGAATGTAAAACAAATTGGAAAATCAAACTCTTCTAACGAAAGATTTACATTGTTTTCTTTGACACATTTTTTTCTCTTTGTTCATAGGTCTTATTGCGAAGAAGCCGAAGAAGATATCTGTATAAGTATGAACGTGAAAGGTGCGTTAATAAAAATACGTATATTAAAAGTATATTAAGATATGCCAACCGCTGCGGATTTAAGACATCTTATATGAGAGAGAGAGAGAGAGAGAGAGAGAGAGAGAGAGAGAGAGAGAGAGGAAAAACTTAATTGATAAAATGTTTCCATTTTCCAAAATTGATTAGTTAATCCATGCGTTTATTTATTTGTTTATTCATTTATTATAGATCAGAATTCACCGAGTCAAAACGCTGGCCAGCACAGCCCAGCCAGTGCTTTGTACGTCGGCGATGAACATGCCCAACTGTCACCGTCAACGCTTGACTTACTTGGCGCACCAGACGAAGATTTTCTCTTCGAGGACAGCTTAGACCTCAGTGTTTTTGAATCTCCCACTGACAGGGCGAAAGTTGTCCCTCCAGTTGCCCCGGCAGCGTGGATGGCGCTACTAGACTGTGAGACCGCTCCGCGCGAGGGAAGCTCGCCGGTGCCAGCGGGTACTGAGACGCACGCTGAAGATAACAATGGGCATTCTCCTCAGTTAACCTTTGAAAACTTGCAGCCGGTTTTGCCAGACTTTCAAAGCGCGGACACACACAGCGGCTATAGAGCGTTCAAAAACGAGTCGAGTCCCTCTTTACAATCTTGTCTGGCGCAGGGTACTCGTGACCATTCAGGTAAGTAAGAAGTAATGATACACCCGTAGATAAATATACAATCAAGAGTAGATAGTAATAAATGAATCAACAATCAGTGTGTCTTGACATCTCCTCTCCTTCTTGGCAGTGAATGGGATTTTTTTATCTCTCTCCGTTTGATAGTTCGTCTTTACTATTTCTTTTCTCTTGTGTTCGAGTTTTCTAAAAAAGACTTAGAATTCGTATACCTTTATCAAAACAAGGTGTAAAGGAAAATATTTCACGGCTTTCATGTTATCGGCATGATGGTGGATAAAAAAGGTTAAACGGGCATACAAAGCGGTTTTAGTTGGAAATAATTCACAAAAACAGCACCTTAACAGCATCAAACATTCCAAATAAACAAGATATATTTCAAATTTAACATCTAACACGCACCCAGTACGTAGAAATAAAGAACTAAAAATCGCATTTACGTCCCGCGATTGTAACATACCTTGCGTGTCACGTGACTCAGATACTAAAATATGAATGAACGGGCGGGAAGAAGTGTGGGAAAACTGCTCAACTTACTTTTCATCCGTGAAGGCCGAGGGAGTAGGCGTACCACGTGACTGCACTGATTCAACAAGTCAATGCAGCGGACGATACGAAGAAAAAACTCTTTAGGCTAGCACGTAAGAGGGATAAAAAGCAGAAAGAAGTAGGCCTACGACACAAAACTTGCACCAATTAAAGTAAAAGTATAATAGAGTGGGCAATGACATGTCAACAGAAGTAAACAAGACGTTTAACGTTCAGAAACCTTGCACTGAGACAGTTCGTCGAATGATGCAATGGCCACACTGGTTAGGAAGCCCTGATAGTATTAGTAGTAAAAGGTGTGTGTGCAATGAATCAATCGTGCGCGCGCAAACCGTTTTGGAAGACAGCAGAGCGTATAACTTAACGCGAAGAACGGACAAAAAATGAAGTTGAAATCGCATTTTGACGAATAATAGGCCTATATACATATAACGGTGATGATTATTTAAGATAAGCAATTTTAGACACCACTCTTATATCATCTCAACAATCATGATAACACCCTCCCGCAGATTGTATGCCCCTTTAAAAAAGCAAAAAAAAAAAAAAAAAAAAAAAAAAAACATAACTTTTGGTTGAATGGTCTGTTCAAGCTGATTTTCTAACTCGACCTGTATTCCATTAAGATTGATCACTAGTACTCCTGTGAGTTTTAAGACAATTGGCCTGTCGGTTTTTCTTGAAATGTATTATCAGTATTGCATATATGCTGAAAAAAGCGAAAAAAAAAACAACAGCATACATGTACCTTTTGAAAAAATGGCCCGACCATACTGATTTTAAAACTAGACCTATATTTTATAAACATTCATCAGTACCGTAAGTTTGATGACAAAAGGTAAACGTTTTTTCCGCTTATCGTGTTATTGTTGAAAATGCATGGCGACGACAGCGACGACGGCGACAACAGACGCAGATGACGGCTATATGTACAGACACATCTGTCCCTGTACATAAAAAAGAATCTTTTAAAAGTGTTTTTGTGGAGAAATATACCATATAAAAATACGATTGAACCATCTTTCCTTTCACGTGTGTAAATATTTCAGTTTCACTTAGGTCAAGGTGCCCGACCTGTTATACCCAAAGTCCGTCCGATTGCCAAAGTGCACGCGTCTGCAAAATACGTGCTCTTGAACCAGTGACCTAGCTTTCTCAAGTTCCTTCTCTAATGGAAGCACGTCACGGTAACCGCAGGGAAGAGACCGGTCCTTCTTTGTCCATAATTATAATGACATGTTTATAGGGCGCTTAATGCAAAAGAACCTCTAATCAGCGGATAGAAGTTGGCCATTGACAACTGAATTGTACAAATGAAGGTGGAGATCACACAGGTTTTAGTGAGTCTCAAGGAACATGAATACAGCTTGGTGTTACATGGTGGAGGGCTTTCATTACAATAGCATTTTCGGTTTTTTTAATCGACTGATAAGTTTTATGTACACACAGCTAGGTTTCAATACATATCACATAACAGGTATCATAGTTTACCTTTTATACGTGTGCGTGTATCTCTAAATCCGTAAAGTATCATTTAATCTCTCGCACACCTTACGTTAGGCCACGCGGTGCAGAGGAAGAGGAAACAGCACACCGTACTAAACTGGTTACTGCTACCATTATCCCTTAAAATTTGACTTCTATAGGAATCTCGATTAAAAGATCTGTAATGAGACATGTTACGCATTCTTGCGCGAAGAAAAAAGCCCCTTTTTTATCAAGCAGAAAACATACTAGGACATGCCCTCGATGGGTCAACAGGCAGCTCTATTCGCTAAAGTTAATGGATTGTTACATGATCCTCTAGACCTTTAGGTACTTCTGTGAGATAAAGAATGTCTTTTTTGACTGTATACATTACCGGTTTCATAGATTAAATGTAATTTTATCTTTACATAATATTTTATATATAGTATTTTTAAATTTAAATAATACACTTTAGTCAGGCAAATTTTGGTGTGTTAGACAGGTTTATTTACCTAAATCTTAATAGAAACATGGCACCTTCTTTAAATCGAATGTAAAGAATAGGATGATTTGAAAAACAAGGAAAATTCACTTTTTCATTTTGAGTATTGGTATGAGTTTTATTTCCTCTTTTATCTTCATAAAACGGCTGAATCTGTAGTTTATCCTCAACTTCAAAATAGCCAAATGATACATTTGTTTTATTAGTTTTTTCTTAGGCATTTCACACACACACACACATACCCGCATATGCAATCACCAAATCAAATCAATCCAAAGTTGATTTTAACCATCGGACCAAAGCTTTAGTCTCCTCTGAAGGGAGATAAACCCGATCGGTTCAAATTATGAGGGAATTGAATACGGCCAAGTTCCCGAACGTATCGGTTACTTCACTACGAATATACTGGTCTTTCAATGTGTAAAACATAATGATATTTTATTTGGATGGCACTGGACGAATTTCATGCTTAGTTAAGCTGATCGGACGCCAGACAATGGACGCTACACCTGTAGGTATAGGCCAGAGTATATGCCGCGCCCTTAAAGGCATACCTAACCCTGAGAAAGTAAAGATTCATCCTCCGATCAGAATCAGCCACATTCAGAGTATATAACAAAGAAAAATGAAAAAATCATTTTCGAGAATTTTCAGCACCATATTCCATATATTCAGCGTAATTTGGTTTTTGAATCACTCATTTCAAGGGAGAAATAGACTGGTGAATTTCACACGTGATAGTAAAAAGGACCAATTTCGAACTCTCAAAAACGGGTTTTATAGATCGTAGTTTTCCCATGGCTTTGAGATATGGATTACTGACAAAGGAAAAAATGTTAAGGATTTCTTAGTATTTTTTTCTTGCATAAAGGTATAATGTGCATTGTATGCATACAATAGTCCCAGCCCACAGCGAAAATGTCCAGACTGGCGCTTTTTTTGCCAAAGCTTTGGTTCGTCACAAAGCACACACAAAGGCAACAAGACAACGGAAGATCCTACGACTCTGATAAAAGCGAAGAAGTAGGCCCGTAATCACCTGGCCTACCCAAGCGTCAAAAGGTTATGTCTCCGATGACCATCTTGATGACGTTTGAGCCGTCTGGTTGAAATCTGGGCACTTCTATCAATTGGATTTTAACTACTTGGACACTGTAGGTCAGCGATTTTCATGTGTAGTGGTCATTGGCCGAAAGCCGTGCAAACCAGAATAGGGAAATTACTAGTTTTGTCTCGATTAGTCTGTCATTACTATTTTTTGTTGTGTGGGTGAAAAGAGGACCTCCTAAGTGTTTTAAATTTAATCTGGGGTCGACGCTTTGAGAGTTTGACATCTTAATGGCCCACCTGTTGTGCAAGAGTGTCACCTAACGTGTATTAGTTTTGACTGGTTCAAACAGTTAGAGGCAAATTTGTGAAAGGGGAACAAATCCCCCGTATATCGTAGTCACACTTTAAGCCTGGGTTCCCATGCTTAAACCGATCCATCTGGATCGACCTAACTCCCTGGGGGTTCACGCTAAATTGCTAACGGCTTAAGAGGCTTATATGTCTACCGAAACAGCAACGGGGGTATTTAACTGGGCCTCGCCGATAACAGATAGTTTAGTAAGACTCCCCGTGGAGATAGATCAATCCAAATATCTGCGGGAATGGTCCCTAAGACCAGTCTAAATGTTTTGGAACAGGCAATCCGCCCAATGTCAGAGGCGAATCCAGGATTATTTGAAGGGGAGGGGGGAGGTCCGCGGATGCAAAGACGACCCTACCCCGACCCCTTGGCGTAGGGTTCGGGGCCCGCTGTTGGGCACCACAAATTTTGGTAATTTAGAGGGCGCACGGGGCCATTCTGTACGGTTTATAACTATGATTCAGCTAGTCAAAACTCTAATTTCAAGAGGGGACCATTTGTGTGATTTTTTCAGGATTCGAAGGGGGGGGGGAGGTCAGGACCTCCCTGACACCCCCTCTAAATCCGCCACTGAATGCTCGAATAGCCATAGCTCATTGGTGCAACGCACTCTCCACATATTCATCTTTCTCACGGCTCATTATAAACCCCCACGCCTTGCAAATAATGAGCATCGTCGCTGTTTCCAAAAGATTTTTACAGGTTAACCGATGCACGCCCCTTCCCGCCTTATCGATATATTGTGTATCCCCCATCTGATCCTACTAGGACCCAAAATCTATCCTAACTTACAGGTACAGCGTTCTAGAAATGAATCCAACGTTTTTGAAATCACGTTAAGTGCTACCAGTTTACATTTCTTTACTTTGAAAACGTGAAATGCCAACTTTGAAAACTGAAACAAAGCACAGACAACTCCTTGCCCCCACTCAGGTCATGGCATTTGCTGGTGGTGCCGCCAGGTGTCCCAAACAAACATCAATCTGAAGTCGTGTGACTGACTGATATCTTATGAAAAGATACAAAAGAAACTGATGCTCTGTAAAAATGTTTCAGAAAGGCAACAATGCTATTTATTCTCTTTAAAAAGGTACATTAAATTAAAGCTGCCTATTGGAAGACATCGATAAAAATTCAAATTGCTCTTAACGGCGGCGTTAAAAATGCATATCAAAAATTTTAATTGCGTCTGTATTTGATATAGTAGTTTTGAGACGATTTTGTATCTACGCAAACTACCACGTTTCCGTGAACTTATCGAATTATGGTCAAACCATATGGTCAAGTAGTTGCACTGTAGCTGTACTCTAGTAAGACAATTAACGTCATGGTTAATTGTCAACACTTGTACAACCTCAATCATAAGTTTTGCCGATAATTAAGCTATTTCACGTTTTTCTTTTATTTATTCACGAAAAATTAAGAATAAAAAAATCAGGTTATTAAAATGTCACGACACATTTGTGAGACATAATAAGACATTCACTTATCAAAGGCTGAGGTGGAATATTGTTAGTCGGAGGATTGTCCTTTACGCGATTTGCAATCGACGCCCTCATCATGGGTCGTCCAGGTGACTCCCTATCGCCACCAAGTCTACGACGTAATTATCAAACATAACAAAAAAAAAATGCATCTTTTCACTCATTTTTACACTCATTTTGATAAAGACTAAAAAAATACGTCTTTGTTTTCAGATCCAAGGGCCACATCTGCTAGCCCAGGGTCGAGCAAGTCCTCTGTGAAGCAACCGAAAGGAACACTGTCTAACCTTTTGTCGGGCTGCGACTATTCCTCCGCGATAGACAAAATCTGCAAGGTCGATCCAGACATCCCAAAGAGAGTGCGCATGCTTTGCACGGCTCCAGGTAATATTTCAATTCCGTTGATGCCCAGTAAAATATGGTGTAACGCAGGTATTAGTTTGTTCATTGCGTTCGTTTGAGCTCTTTCTTTATCTGTCTTAACTTTTATCAATATATGTATATCAAAAATATATCAACTCTTGGTCACAATAGAAATTCTCCCCTCTCTTTTTCTTTGGTCTCTCTCTCACTCTCTCTCTCTCTCTCTCTCTCTCACCCCCTCCCCCCCCCCCCACCCCAACGATCTCTTCAGACCTTCTTCCTTCCCCTCTTGGTATGGCAAAAAAGGAAAAAAAATAACACTCAGGACAAATTTATTCGTTTTTGCCCAATGGCTCATAAAATTTTTAATCTGGTGAGCACTATAAAAGCACAGACCTCGGTCAAATAAAGGGCAAAATTTTTCTTTGAAAAAATATTCAAATATTTGGAGACCTAATTCAATTGATATTGCAATCACTTCGTTCCTCTTGTGGCACAGCATTCCTGAAAACTTCATCAAAATTTGTCAAGAACTCTTTGAGGTAATTCGTTCTCTAATGAACAGACACATTGCTAAGCCAACACTGATGAAAAAAAAAAAAAAAAACGTCCTTCTTTGGCAACAGTAAAAAATATCAAAAACTAAGGATACATCCTAATTTTTTTCTTGTATAGGGGAACCAGAGTTTGACCCCAGAAGACATACTGTTGAGGAAGGGGACGTGATGCCTCGACCTGCTATCAGGCGCATTAAAAGGGTAAGTATATATATATATATATATATATATATATATATATATATATATATATATAAGTATATATATAGATATGTGTGTGTGTGTGTGTGTGTGTGTGTGTGTGTGTGTGTGTTTGTGTAGTATACAGAGAGCTCAACAACGCGGAGCATTTATACAAAATTAAAAAAATAAATATCATTTTGAATAATATCATTTTGAATTAACACCTGATGATCGGGCATACCCTATGAGTATGTTCGTGAAACTCAAGAATTGAGGTTCACACGTCTCTCGTGTATTTATTTATTTTAAAACTGTGTGTGTGTGTGTGTGTGTGTGTATGTGTATGTGTGTGTGTATGTAAAATAAATTTCATTTGACTGAAAAGGATAAAGTATACCGGGTTTGTGCGCAAAGTGGACTTCCTGGTGCCCAGTTTACTGTATTTAGGCGCCTGTAGTTATCACTCTAACTGTAAAGCTGTCAAAGCCACAACTTGCGGGTATTTTCACGTACTCCCATTCTTTACACACATTGCCCTGCTTTCAAATAGCTTCAGGAGTTTGGCTCCGAATTCTCGAAGCTGTTTCTGGAAAACACGGCAACTTCCCTCGCTAATAACTAATTTCCAAGGTTACATGGTCACGTGGGCACAACTTAACCTATCAGGAGCAGTCTAACAACACTCTCATGGAAATCCTAGTCAACTAAGCCATGGAACTCAATTAAGATTTTTTTTTGTCAAACTGGGGCCCGATAAAATACTTTATTTCCCTCTGACATCGAGAGATATACTGAGAAATGTATATATTAATTTTTTCAGAAATGTATTCCGGAAAACGACAAGGATGAAGAGTACTGGAAAAGGCGTAGAAAAAATAACGAACAAGCCAAACGCTCCAGAGACACAAGGAGACTTCAAGAAAACCGTATTAAAATGCATGTTATCCACTTAAAGAGTGAGCTTAAATCTGCCAAAGAGCAGTTGAAGAACGCTTTGCTCGAGAACGCACGGCTACGAAGTGTGGTAAATAGTCAGAAGCCAGACGATGGGTGACTGATTGGATAGAAATGTCAGAATAAGTACTTTTGGGAACCCGTTTGGCATGAGAACTTTAAACTTTGAAGTTTGGTTATAACTATAATACCTCCCGGTCCCCTCTTAAAAATTGACTAAAAAAACAAAAACAAAAACAAAAAAAAAAAAAAAAAAAAAAGGGTAGTTTTCCACTGAGTTGACAATAGTGGGCCTATCTTTCAACATCAGATAAGAAATCGTTTGACCGAAAGTCTATTTAAAAGGATTCACCCAAGCTTTAACTTTTGTCCAAAACCTTCGGTATTATAGTGAAGACCACTCATGTACTCTTGTGAAACTGAACCCATTTTGTCCAACCCCATGTAGATCATGACGTTTCATTGGTGAAGCGAACTTGTGAGGTGGCTGAAGGATTCTCTGTAGTAAGATAGAGTTTGGCTGTGCCATATATGTCAGGCTTAACAACATTTTCTTCAATCCACCGTTCTCAATTTCCAAATTGATTAGCTTTTAATCAGTTTTGAACTCTACTCATATATAAGAAAATAACGTTTGGCGTATATATGAAGCAGGGGCGGATCCAGAGCTTTTTTCTGACAGTCTTCCAAATTGTCTTTGTTGATCCATCCTCCGTTTTTGACCGTCTTCCGACAGAAAAATATATACCCGTCAATGTAAACTTGAAAATCTGACCGTCTTCCGGAAGTCCCAGAAGACGGCCTAAACCCGCCCCTGTGAAGAACGGAAAGTAGCATTTTGAGTTCCTTTAGAAAAGTTTATCTTACATCATATCTAAATGATGGCAATTAATTGAGAATATATGAATCGTAATGGGGTTTTGTATTAAACGTGGAAGTGACATGTAAAAGGTTTACGTATATTACGCTCGCCAAATGTGGTCTCGTGAAAATAGATGGTTCACCAGTGAAATGATATCATTAAAGTCGTCATATTAGTTATTTTTACTTCAAATACTTGAACGAAGTTTCATTTTATTTGGCAGTTACCAGTAGCATCCACCTCCCTGAGACAGACGTGTACTTATTCTGGCAACACACATGTTTAATATACGAACTGCTCATTGCCGACGGTGAGGAAGCCAAAAAAAGACTTGACGATTTTTTTTCTTTACTTTACGGAACAAAGCCATGTTACGAAAGGATAGCAGACGCAAATAGTTACAATAAGAAGCGACAGGCCTTTTGAGTATTTGAGTAGCCTACATTTTTACTTTTATCTGACCGTTAGTTTCCACGACTTTTTTTTTGTTAGTGGTACTGTCATGTACAGATGACGCAATATTTTGAGTAAGGTGAGGTGTTTCTCAAAAAAAAAAAAAAAAAAAAAAAAAAATGTTCCTCAGAATTTGTTTGACAGCAACAAGACGCCAACGCCTGGTGTTTTCGCACTTAAACACTGGACCTCACACTGCTGTGGGAGTTTTGCACATATATCCGTTACAAAGTGCATTTAGTTAAATTAGTTCTCATTATTTTTGTCATTTTTTGTTTGTTATATAGATGACGGTCTTATGGAGCAAAAGTAGCTCTACTAAAAGGGATAACAACTGTTCATTTTGGCCAATAACGAATTTTCCTGGGGTAAACAACAATTTTTCCATTCTTACCAATGGTAAATGAATCCATTTCTACTTTCAAATTTAGTCTTAAGAGATTATTACAGACTATAGCCATCGATGGAGGTCACATGGTCGGATGACAAGCACAGATTTTAGAATAATTGCTTTAAATTCCATTTTTGGTGGGAAATAGAATATATTATATTTCCTTGGGTTGTTTACAATGTTTTTTTTTTTTTTTGTGAAATATGGATTTCATACAGAGAGTTGTTATCCCTATTCAGCTCCTTAATTATTTATCACTTACGGTTTCAGACATTTTGCTACCACGATCTTCAAATATATTAGTTCAGCTTAAGATAACGGTATGCATAATAACAGTATAATTGTTATATATATATATTTTTTATAACTTTTTATGTAGAAACGTGGCAGTGCATTTACCATATTTGCTTATTTTATGAATTCTCTTGTATAGATATTTTCTAATTTATCTGTACCATTTGATGGTTAATGTTAAAGCACAGATAATATATTATGACAATTGCATAACACAAATGTCAATTTTAATAAAGCATCTACATTAGACATTATTTTTGTTTTGAAGTTTGACAAAAAAAAAAAAAAAAAAAAAAAAAAAAA